CCTGGACCGGGGCACGAACCCGTGTCCCCTGCATCGGCAGGTGGACTCTCAACCACTGCGCCGCCACCAGGGAAGCCCCAATGCTATATAGTTTTATGCTATGTTTTCATCACAATCTTTATCCTGAGAGTCTCCAGTTCCCCCCGAATCCTGAGGAGGGGAGGGCTGGAGGACAGAGGGCCTCTGGGCAGTGCGGGGAGGGAGCTACTTGTGGCAGGCTGGGTACTGTGAGTGGATCTGGATGTCCACTTGGGGCCCTTCCCCCTCCTCCCTGGTCCTCCCAAAGCTCCTATTTCCCAGAAACCCCTCCCAGGTGAGCCTCCAGGAAAAGTCCAGGGGTCCAGGATGTAAAGAAGAAGGTGGAAGGGTACTTGGGGGCTTTGAAGTAAATAGGAGGTGGTCTCCCCGAGACACCCCCCCTCCTACCCCACCTACCACTCCAGCATCAGTTCAGGTGCCACCGCTGTGAGGGGCTTTGATCACAGCTCCCACCTCCCTAGGCCGTCCCCATCAGCACCCGCAGTGAATCCAGACTTCCTTCCAAACAACCGGCCCAGGCTCCACAGTTCTTCCTGGTGTCTAGCCTCTATCCCTCTAGTTGTGGTTTAGGAAGGCACATTCATCCTGCGTGTCAGGTACGGTGCCACAACCATCATTTATTGGGTTACATGTGAGGCGCTTTCCACACTGTATTTCATTTACTGCTTGAAATAATCCTGTTTATTTGATATGTCCACTTTTAAAAATTAAAAATTATGCCACTAACATTTAATAAGCACTTATTGTTTTGGTGCCAGCCATGGTGCTGAGCGTTTCTCTTGCATTTTCTCATTTATCTTTCCAAATCCCTTTCAGGTAGGCGCTCAGTCTCTCCATTTCACAGCTCAGGAAACATGCTTTGAGAAGTTAACCACCCCCATTAGGCACAGTCACCAAGGGATGTGACATAAGTGGGTCCCTGAACTCTGGGCCAATCTGCCACTTAGACCACAGAACCCAGATCCCAGCTACCCCCGCAAGAGGCCAAACTGTTGGCAGAGCTGGTTTCCAACTCCTCCGGGTCCCAGCACCCAGGCAAGGCTCACTGAATGAACGGACGTAGCTCCTGTATCCTCCACCCCTCCTGCTGTCGTCACAAACCACAGTGCCTCCAGCACAGAAAACCAGAGACCGCTTTCTCAGAGGCTTCCCCTGGGCCTTCTGGGTGGGATGTATCCTTTCCAGTCAGACTTGAGGAAGGGTGGTACAGTTGTTGGGAGCCAGCGCTGTTATCGTGGCTTAAGGACATGGTGTGTGTGTGGAAATCCCACAGAACTTGACCACTGCAGTAATGCTGCGGAGCATAAGGTTGCCACTACAGCCACTGCAGAATTCAGAGAGGATAAAATTTTTCATTGCATTAGGATCCTTGGAAATCAGTTTTATTACAAGTATTTCCACTAGCAGTTAAATACTGTAATTAAATGCTCAGAGGTGACCCTTCAGAGATGCTTGCTATGGCCTGGAGGGCAGCAGGGGGCAGGGAGCCTGCATGTTGGGGTGTAGGGGGGTGTTGGGAGGATGCTCAGGGATGGTTAGGACACTTGTGGGCTCCCTCCACTGCAGTGTGACATCCCAGAAAGAGCACGACCTCCGAGACAGAATGGGGTTTGCTTCTGAATCTGCCCCCCTTCAAAGCTACGTGACCAAGCAAACCCTTAGGCTCTCTGAGCCCCATTTTCCTCTGTGTAAAATGAAGATGGTAACATGTCAGCTGGGATTTTACGAGGATAAACGTGAGCTAGCGGAGTGCATCCCGCAGAGCCAGGCACACTCGGGCCCTCCATGCACCTCCATGTCTCTCATTCCTGTGTCCTCTGGACCGGCATGTCACAGTCCGTAAGGGCTCCTATCCATCTCAGCCTTATTACTGCTTCTTATTGGAACATTTGTTTCCAGGCTGATGGGCTGGAACGATAAACCTCCAAAGGCAAACTTAATCCCAGACGGGGATGAATCTTCCCTGCCTGGCAGGGAACGAAGATGGATCAGCCTCTGCCTCTGCCCTGACGAGCTAGAAACTCAATTTAGAGCTTGTTTGGTCGTTAGAGGGCTCTCACAATGCTGCTGCCTCCAGGAGAGGCACTGTCAGAAGAAAAAGAAGGCGAGAGCCCTGCTGGCAAAGAGAGCAGCTGGGAGCAGGCAGTAGGAAGTCAGGAGGGCCGGATGTGGCGGTCTTGGCAGGCGCCTATGGAGAGAGGGGCTGCGGAAGGCTTCGGGGTAGAGGTGTGAGCTGAGTTTTACGAGGCAGGCCTGGCGGTGTGGAGAGGTTGGGCAGAGTGAGATCCAGGGCCCAAGGCAGGGACCCTGGGGGGCTGAGTAACCAGAAACCAGGCATTACTTAGTTTGGGAGAGCGTCTTGTGTTACATGACACACTTCAGATCCCATCTGTCCCCAAAGCTTTCCGTCCCACCAAGGTTCCACCTGGTGTTCCGTCAGAGCTGTACTTCTCACTTCCTCTGGGAGGGCAGCTCCCATAACACATTAGAGGCTGGAAGCTAGGAGGCTGAGGCCGAGGCTGAGAGCAGGCCTTGGCAACGGGGCGTGTGGGGCAGACCCTTGCCTCCCCTCTGCTCGCTGTAGCCTGAAGGCCAGGCTGGGTGTCAGCTTCCTGCGGGGGGCCTGGCTCCTCAGCCTGCTGCCCTGCAACCTGGGCGGGTCCCCCTGTGCCCCATCTCCTGGGGAGCCTTGGTCTCCTCACCTGTCACGCTGGATGAAAGGTGGCTGGGCAAGGCCCGGGACGGGACCTGCTGGGCTCAGGGAAGCCCCCCATTTGCCGAGTGTATTCCCTCCTCACACCCTGAGCCCTGAGGCCATGCCCCACCTTAGCCCAGCTCCAGCCCACTGTCTTCTCTCCACCCTCCCTTCTATTTCTCCTGCGGTCCCTTCTTCACTGGGTCCACCTGCCTTCTCCTGCCTCTGCTCCTCTCACTGTCCTCTGCACGGCTGCCTCTGGCTTTCTTCCGGTGCCTGCCTCTGCCCTGCTTTGTCAGTCTCTCTTGTACTCTCTACTCTCCCCTTTCCGCCTCTCAGCCTCTCGCTCCATCTCTCTACTCTGCTCTCCCTCTTAGACGCACTGGGGACCCTTGGGCCGGTGGGGCTCTGACGCTGCCTTGACCCTCTGGTGGCTCTTCCCCTTCCAGATGGGGCTGGTGGCCATCCTGGTGGCTACGGTGGTGGCCATGTCAGCTGTGGCCCAGCTGTGGGAGGACGAGTGGGAGGTGCTGCTTATCTCCCTGCAGGTGAGTGGGGGTGGGGACGGGGTGGCTGCTTCCCCAGGATCCTCAAAACAAGACAGTGCCTTTATGGTCACTCCCGTTTCTCTAGATCAAGGTCCAGAGGAAGTAGGGAGGGGTCCACATCACATAGCAACTCAGAGGCAGGGAGGGTGCTACAATCCGGGGTACCTGGACTCCCAGTTTCCTCCACTGAAAAATGGAGACACTTGCCTGCCCCGTGGATAGAGACAGGCCGTAAGGACGTTGGTAACCAGAGGGTCTGGGCACAGCTGGGAGCCAGCAGTCTCTCTTGTCCCTTCCTGCACACAAGGGCACAGCGCCGTTCCTGCACATGGGGGCCCTGGTCGCTGTCACTGCACTCTCCTGGATCGTGGCAGGACAGTTTGCCCGCGCAGAGCGATCCTGTAAGTATGACTGGGCAGGACCTACCCTCCGTGCGCTCCAAGTACCAAGGCCAGCTTGTCCTGCCCCAGCCTGGACGTTACCTAGGTAGCCTGGGGATATGGTGCGGCCCTTGCTCTCAGTGTGGGGAGTCCCGGTTCAGAGTGGCCTGCAGGTTCCACAGAGGTTGCAGCCTCGGCCTTGCGTGTTTCTTCCTCTGTGTCTCTACATGTGTGTGTGACTTAGAGGCCAGGTTCACCTTCCTAGCAAGAATGGGGGATCCTCTTGGTGCAGGGTCCCCTCAAAGCATCTGGGTCCTGACAAGTGGAGGGAGGAGGGATCCAGCACGCCCTGCCAAGCTGCCTGGGGCTCATGGTTGGGCCCATGTCTGCAGCCTCCCAGATGGCTATTCTCGGTACCTTCTTCACCGTGGTGTTTGCCCTGTACCTGGCCCCTCTCACCATCTCCTCTCCCTGCATCATGGAGAAAAAGGACCTGGGCCCCAAACCTGCCCTCATCGGCCACCGCGGGGCCCCCATGGTGAGTGCCACTTGTGGGCCCTAAAGACTGGGGTGAGGGGTGGGTGGAGCTGCCATTGCAGAGGGGAGACAGGCAAAAAACCTAAAGCCTATCTCCTTGTAGGGAGGAGCTTGCAGGGAAATGTATATAATACATGTAATGTAATGATAGCCACAATTTTTAGCCCTTTTTGGTGGTGGTGGTGTTGGGGGGTGGGCATGGGAGGGGTTTAATGGAAAGGGTTGGTGAAAAGGCTGGAGAGTTTCAATGGGATCAAGTCCTGAAGAGCCTGAAGGCATCTTGCTTGAAAGGTTTCACTTTCATCCTGAGGGCCCTGGAGAGATGCAGGAGGGTTTTAGGCCAGGGCCAGATACTGCCAGGTTGTAGGTTAGGAAGGCCCAGGAGAGATGCTGGGTGTGGGGAGGGGAGCAGGGCCCGGGGGCTGGGACAAAGCAGCAGAAAAACCCTCCAGGCTGTGCAGGCAAGAGAGCTGGGTGCAGCTCCGAGCCCACTGCTAAAGGAAAACATTTACACCAGGTGGGACGGAGAGTGGAAGGAGTCAGAGTTAGCACTTGCTCCTTCTCTGCCACCCCTGTGACCCCGCAGTAGGCCCTCCCCTCGAGGGAGTATGCACCAGAGCCAGGCTTCCGGGCCCCGTGGCAGCTGTGGGAGTCAGGGCCTATTCTATCTCCTCTGTGTCTAGTTTGCTCATCTTGTACCCTGGGATGATAGGAGTGTCTGCACCGTATGGCCACAGGAAGCAAGAGTTAGCATGTGTGATGTGCCCAGATATGAGTCTGGCTCACAGAAAGTAAGAGTTACGCTTTCCTGTTACCTCGGGCAAGCCCTCCTGCTTCTCTAGACTGGGTTTCCTGACCTACGAAAGCCTTGAACTTTGGTTCTCAACAGATGCAGTACCATTTATCACCACCAGGGGGAACTTGAGGGCTCTATGAGAGCTTTTTCTTGGTTGTGGCAGTAATTGGGAGTTCCATGGTATCCTTGAATTTCAGGGTAGTCTAGGGGGCCTCACGAAGTAAGCATTTAAAGGAGGCATCACGTCGGACAGGGCTGCAAACCACCATTATTGTGCCCATTTCCTAGATAAGGCTCAGAGACCTGCGCCCCTGAGCTGGACCCTGGTGCCCTCCCATCACACCCCATGCTGCTCCCGGCACCTCCTGGAGGCAACCAGCTAGAAAGGCCATGGTTTTGGAGTCAGAGGATCTGGATTTGGGGTCCAGTTTTGCCACATGCTGCCCGTGTGTCTGGGGCCCCTCCAGGCCTCCCTGCTGCTGGCTTTTGTGAGGATAAATTAGATAAATTAGATAAATCTGAGGCAGGGCCCCAGCTTATAGCTGCTCTTCTTTCCATGACCCGTATTACCAACCCCACCTGCTCTGGAGGCCACAGGACAAGAGGGTGGGGTGTGCTGAGGCAGGAAGTTGGGGCAAAGGGAAGGAGTGGGGTGGCCCCATGTGGATTGTTGTTTTAGCAGAAAGATTTCAAACATTCACAGAAGGGGAATGAATAGTATAATGAATCCAACACCACCTTGACCATTTATCAACATTTTGCCATTCTTGTTTCATCTATCGCCCTGCTTTGTCTTTCCCCCTGCTTTAATATTTGAAAGCAAATCCCAGGTATTGTATCATTTTATCCATGCTTACTTCAGGGTGTGTCTCTAATGCATAAAGACCTTAAAAACAGAACCATGCCACACTGCCGCTATTACACCTAACCAAATTAATAATCATTCTTTAATACTATCTAATACTGAATCAGTGTTCAGCTTTACTTTGTCTCACAAAGATCTTTTTATAATTGAGTTGTGAAAAATCAGAATCCAAACAGAGTCCGTGTGGTACAGCTGGCTGGGATGTCTTCTAAGTATCTTTTAGTCTATAATAATCTCCCTCCCTTTTTTTCCCCATATGCTGTTTATTTGTTGAAGAAACTGAGTCATTTGTCCTGTAGAATTTCTCCCATTGTGCATCTGGCTGATTGCATCCTGGTGGTGGCCCTTGAGGGGCTGGTGTGGGTGTCTGACACAAGTCCTCCCTGTGTCACTGTGAATGCATGAGTACCAGTGTCTACACCTGTATATGTCTGCCTGTGGGAGGTTTTGACTCTGGGTCCACACATCTGTGTGTGGTAAGCCCAGGTGCTCATCCCTGTCTTGGAGATGGTATCTGTGTGCCCTGGACAGGGGTGTTCTTCCTATGTGGGTGGCCTGTGTGCATACTTTAATATTTGGTCAGACTGACTCCAAAGTTGGGCCTCTTAACCACAGTGGTCCACCACCATGCGTCTGTGACGACCACGCCCACACATGCACACTTATGACAATACAGCCCCATCTGCCTTTAGGCCTGAGGCAGTAGCAACCCTGTTTCTCAAGGAGGCCAGCACCTAACGCAGGGAGATCTGAGTTTAAAAAGCCTCCAGAAAAGAGATTTTGCCCCTCCCAAACACTTCCTCCTTCCCCCAAGGGTCTTCATGGCCCCTGCTACGCTCTTTGTGTCTACCCACAGTCTACATTCTGCCACGTGGGAGGGGGGTGTTGGTACCTCTCTGGTGGTCACTTGTGGGACACCTGGCCACAGGGCATTTAGAGGCGATTGAGCAGGAACCCCACCGAGTCCACACCTGGACGCCTCTGTGGGGTCTCACCCAGCCTACTTGACCGGGAGACAAGGCAGCGTATCCCCCAAGGCTGCTCTGCCTTGCAGAAAGGGGAAGAAAGGAACTCACATTTCAGAGACTGCTGACATCTGTTACCTCAGCTATGAGCTTGCTACTATCAGTCCATTTTATAGCTAAAGAAACCGAGGTCCAGAGGGTGAGGTGTGATGGGCCCAGGTTGGTGACTGGGAAGGGGAATTGCTCCTTCTCAGCTTCAAAGCCCTTGCCATGCCAGGCCGCTTCCCAGAGGAGGGGAGTGTGTTACATGCTGGGGAACAGCATGGCCGGAGGAAGAGAAGGTGGGAGTGAGCATGTCTTGGTGAGAATGGGATGAGCCACGGGAGCCCTTTCCACCCATCCCTCACTGCCGGAAGTCTTCCCTGTCTTGCATCCCGCACTGCACATGGTCCTAGCCCAATCCTTGGTATGGTGCTGACTCCTAGTGGCAGCAAAGGGTATGACAGGATCATCAGACCAAGCAACTAGGGAGACTCGGAACCCCAACTCCCCCAACAGGAAGGACACTCAGAGAACAGTGTACATATACCGCCAAAGGCCAAATGGGGAAACTGAGGCCCATAGGATAAAGAGATGCACCAAAGGTCACAAACCTAGTTAATGGCAGAGTCAGGCCTAGAACTAGGATTTTCTGATGTATATGCTATAGGGTAACAGTTGTCATTTGTTAAGCTCTTACTGTATATCAGGCAACGTGCTAGGGGCTTTTAATCCTTGTAACAGTCTAGGAGATGGTCTTGTCATGTCTGTATAGATGAAGAAACCAGTCACCCCACTGAAACTCTGCCATGCTGTCTACCCTGTCCTCTCCCTTGGGGATCTCCACCTGGACTCAAGGTATAACCAGGAGGAAACTTGGCATTCAGCCCAGCCCAAGACTGCATAGAGGCAGAAGACTGTAAAAAAGCCCTCCACCCCCGACATTTACATACATCAACACTAACCATCCCTGCTTCTCTCTCCCCACCACCAGAAAAATCTATGAGGTAGGCATGATTTAACAGATGAGGAAACTGAGCTTCAGAGAAGCTGCGTGGGTGCCCAGGGCTCCACAGCTACTGCTTAGAGGAGTGGAATTAGAAGCAGGTCTACCCCAGCCTCCCAACGTGGAAGATTTTCTGTGGGTTGGGGAGCGGTGCTCGAGCTAAAGCATGGCTCTCCCTCACCACCACCTTCCTCCCCAGCTGGCCCCAGAGCACACGCTGATGTCCTTCAGGAAGGCCCTAGAGCAGAAGCTGTACGGACTCCAGGCTGACGTCACCATCAGGTAAGCGTGGGGCTTGGGAGGACAGCACCTCTTCTCCTCGATGCAACCACACCTGGGTTTCTGCTGGAGACACGTCTGGTCCCAGAGTCTTAGAGATGGAAGAGTGGAGGCTTGGATTATCCACTGCAGGGCAGGCACCATGTTTATGCAAATAGATTTTGTGCCATACTCCAGGATATAAAATAGAGAAAAAACCAGACACCTGATTCAAGCAGGGTGGAGGTAGGGACCTGGAGTCCTGCCACAGATCCACTTAATGGAAAGACTAGATGTATATGGCTCAGCAAGATGGAGCGCAAACACTCTGATGAGTGAAATCAGCAAGGTGCAGAGTGATACGTTCACGGTGATGTCAATTATACTTTTAAAGACCACATAAAAGTGATCTATACAATTTCTACATGTAGGTGTATAAGTATGTGTTTGTATAAAGGGCAAGAAGTGTCCATACTGATCTGATAACATCATGTCTGAGAAGGGGAGGGGGGCAGGGTACTGAACAGGGGTACCACGGCGTGAGGATACCGTTCTCATTGTAGAGATTATAGAGTTGTGTGTTTGTCAAAACTTTCTAGCAGGTGGTAGAAAAATGCCTTGAGGAGGGGGAGCACAGGTGCCTTTTACTGTTTCACGCTAAGGCACCTTATGGGGCTACCGGCAGCCCCAGCAGTGGGGTAGACCGGGATGATAGCGGGGTGGAACTTGTCAAAGGGGCCTGCATTTGCACTCTTCTCATTATGGCATCACGTGGACTGGGTTCTAAGCCAGGTTCCACCACTTACTGGCTGGCAGGCCTTGAGTTTGATACTTCTGTCTCCAGCCTCAGTTTCCCCATTATCAACTGAGATAGCCTCTACCTCCCAGGGTTGCTGAGAGAATACGCTCAGCCCTCCCTCCTCAGCAGTGCCCACCCCCATCTGACCCTCAGAGAGAGCCGAGGGATTCGCCTACCGCCCACTGACTTCCCTGTGCAGACGGGGAACCTGAGGCCCAAAGAGGGGCAGAGCGGGCCTGGGTCCCTAGGTGGGCTGGTGTAAGTGGGTGGGGAGGAGCGGGCGAGGGACCTGGGTGGGTAGTGACTCCGCGGCCCCACCCTCCCACAGCCTGGACGGCGTGCCCTTCCTCATGCACGACGCCACCCTGCGCCGCACCACCAACGTGGAGGAGGAATTCCCGGAGCTCGCCCGCAGGCCCGCCTCCATGCTCAACTGGACCCTGCTGCAGAGGCTCAACGCTGGCCAGTGGTTCCTGAAGGTCTGGCAGCACCTGTCCCAGTCCTAGGCATGGAAAGCATGGTCAGGGACTCCATGGAGAGGGCCAGGGGCAGCCCTCAGCTCAGGTGACCTTCACACGCCGAGCTTCCTTGACTCACAGCCAGGCTGGTTGGCGGCCTCCTTGGGCTCCTGCCACTGCAGCCCAGATATCATGGTTGTCACTACTTGTTCTGGTTCTGCCTCCCCTACCAGAAAAACTTGATTTTGATTATAATAGTTAATAGCTAAAATTGTTAACCGTGTAAAACTCTAGAGGAAGTTGGTTCTCTGGTCTGAAGGGCTACTGAGAGAAAAACGGACTGGGGTCTGGGATATGTTCCAAGCAAATCGTTCTTCTGGCAAGCAGACTGGGATAGAGAGGTTATGGTTGGTTTCTCCTAGAGGTCCCAGGGCCCCAGCCTTCAATGTGCCTGACTTGCACACACCAGCCGACACTGGCAGCTCAGTCGTCTCCAAGTTCCATAGCCAGGAAGGCATGTGGAGGCCCCACAGGACTGGTGAGACAACCATGTGTGTCCCTGTCTCTGCCAGACGGACCCCTTCTGGACAGCCAGTTCCCTGTCACCGTCCGACCACAGGGAGGCCCAAAACCAGTCCATCTGCAGCCTAATGGAACTCTTGGAGCTGGCCAAGGGCAATGCCACGCTGCTGCTCAACCTGTGTGACCCGCCGCGGGAGCACCCCTACCGCGGCAGCTTCCTCAACGTCACGCTGGAGGCCCTGCTGCGCTCGGGCTTCCCCCAGCACCAGGTGAGGCCCTGCAGCCCAGCCCCACCCAGCTCTGTCCCCAAGGAGCTGAGCTCCGCCCAGCCCTGCCCCACCCGCAGGGAGACCAGGCCTGCCTGGAGTCCCGCTCAAGCAGTAAACTCACCGTGTCCCCTCTCCAGACCTCAGGGTTCCACATTTGTGAAATGAGGGTAGCATGCCCCATGCCTCCCTGACAGGGTCATCATGGGGCCAAGAGGGAAATAAGAAAGGCGTTTAAAATGTACAAAGGAAAAAAAAAAAAAAAATGTACAAAGGGCAGGAGCAGGGCCAGATTCTTCGGAACATGGTACTTCCTTGAAGCGTTACCTACATGATACCTGGGGATCAGAAAAATACGACACCAACTATGACAGCACACTAGACGCTGGTGGTCACATGCACAGTAGTTGACATTTGGGGCGTTATCGGTCTCGTCCTGACTAGGGTCTGGAGGGGGAACTTCCTGAGGTGTTGCCAAAGCAACTCCCAGCCATGGCTGGGACCAAGTCATCCCCCAGAGGTGATTACTACCTGAAAGCTTTCACTGCGTGCCAGGTCCCGCCTCTTTTAACCCCTCCAGGTGCTCCACAAGGGACAGACACCCTAACCCCATTGTATAGAAGGGAAATCAGAGGCTGCTTCTCTCCTGCCTGCAGGTCCTGTGGCTGCCTAACAGGCAGAGGCCCTTCGTGCAGAAGGTGGCTCCTGGCTTCCAGCAGACATCGGGCTCCAAGGAGGCAGCTGCCAGCCTGCGGAGAGGCCACATCCAGCGGCTGAACCTGCGCTACACTCAGGTGTCCCGCCAGGAGCTCAGGTGCCCACCCCATCCTGCCCAGGCTCACCCAGAGGACTGGACACAGAGGCTCAGGGTTCAGAGAGGAGAGGTTGAGAACATCAGGCAGACCTGGGTTTGTATGTGAGCTTGGCCCTCTGAGAGCGGAGTTTCCTTCCTCCAGGGACAGTTTTGAGGATGGCGTGAGGTTGTGAAGGGCCATGCTTTGCTTTACAGGCTTCCCACACTGGCCAAAGGGCCGACCAGCCTCTGTCCCTGCCCCGCAGGGACTATGCATCCTGGAACCTGAGCGTGAACCTCTACACAGTCAATGCCCCGTGGCTCTTCTCCCTGCTGTGGTGCGCGGGGGTCCCGTCTGTCACCTCTGACAACTCCCACACCTTATCCCAGGTGCCCTCCCCCCTCTGGATCATGGTGAGTTGGGGATTGTTGGGGGTCCAGAGAGCTGCCCATGGCTTCCAGGGCTGGGGGGCAGGCTCCACACAGGGGCTCCCTCTGGTGGCGTCTCAGGGGTTGGGGGAGCTACCTGAGGGGACAGGCTTGAGGCATGAAGATTCTCCTGACCTCTGGGGCCTTCACCAAGGTCTGGGGGGTAGGAGGAACCTTGGCCTGAGCCACATGGGGAAAAAAACCAAAGGCTCTAGACAAACCACTACTTGGGTTTTGGGGGGTGGGGGTTGGAGATTATTTTATTTTGTTTTAAAGGAAGGGAAGTCATTGGGAAAAGAGGGCAACGGGGCAAAAATAGGGAACATTAAAATCTTCTCAGAGATTACAGCCAATAAAACCAGTTTTCAGTTGGTTGACCAACTGACCACCTGAAGACAGGCCTGCGTTCCAGTCCCAGCTCTGCCAACCAGGGGGCTTGGGGAGCCCTTGACCTCCCTCCTGTGCTCCCACTGCCACTTCCCTGAGGTCATGAAAGGCAGGTGGAGGGTCTCATTATGGCTGAGATGATGCCGTGTGAGTCAGATCTAGGTTTTGGGTGGTTGTCTTTTAAAACCTCTGAAGGCTCAGCTCCGAATGAGATGAAATAACTGACTGTGGCAGCAGTAGCTATGAGCACACTCTGATTTTCAGGCCACAGGAACTGACCAACAGCAAAAAGTGCCTCTGGCCCACCCCTGCCCCTCCTCCACAGTTTACCTGAGATCAAGGGGGTGTGAGGCCTGGCTGCTCTGCAGGCTTTGCCCTGCTGGGCCCCTCTCTATGGCCCCCTGGAGGGGAAGCTCCCACGCTCCACACCCTACAATGATATGTACTCTTTACATGCACATGGATGCCACATACCTCTTCACATACCCACCTGCGCACCTGCTTGTCACGTCACACCCTCTCATTCATCTATCTGTCTTTCATATTTTGGTTCTTGCATTAAGCCCCTTTAAGCACATAAATCCTCTAGGTTTAAAACACACCACCTCTACAGTGAACACTGCACGGATCTCTTTTAACACACACACACACACACACACACACCCCCCACCCCCAAACGCCAGGCCCACTCCTACAAAACATAATCTCAAGCCCCCAAGCCCCCTCCAGGTCCTCCTCTGCCCCTCCCTGATGGTGACGTGCGATTCTCCTGCCCATGGGCCCTTGGTCTGGAGCCCTGGTCTGGACCAGCCATGACTGGAAGCTGGTCGTGGGCCATCTGTCCACAGCCCCCGGACGAGTACTGTCTCATGTGGGTCACCGCCGACCTGATCTCCTTCATCCTGATCGTTGGCATCTTCGTGCTACAGAAGTGAGTAGGCCCCGACCACCTTCTGCGGCCCTCCCTGCCCGAGACGGGCCAGCTCCCGCCCCCAGCCAGGTGAACGCCCTCCTGAGCCCTCGGCCGGGAGATGTCCTGGCCAGACCACCCTGTTCAGGGGAGAAGGAGGCCTCCCTGTGGCCCCCAGCCCATCCCCCTCAGCCAGAGCCCAGTGGCTTCTGGAATGAGCACCCAGCTGGGAGCCCAGAGCCAAGTTGGGCCAGGATTTGCTGTGTAGACTCTTTGGTGAGTTTTAGCTCCAGGGTGGGCTCCTCTCTAGGCTTGTCTCCCTGCCTGTCACCTAGGGCACAGGTTTCCACAGCACTCGTGCCGGGCTCAGACCTCCCCACCCACACTTCAGGATGACAGCTGGTGGGCGGGGGGGTGGTCGCAGTGGGAGTGGGTGGCTCCTGGGGAGGTTTTAGGGCCAGGCGGGGCCCCAACCCAGCCGTGAAGCAGCAGGCTAGGTTTTACTCTTGACTGACTTTCTCTCTCTGTCCCATACCGCTCTGATCCGGCGCATGTCCCTCCTCTCTCTCCCCCCTCCCCACTCTCTGCTGCACTCTGGCATCTCACAGCTATCACTTGATCAGGTAATTCTGGTGTGGTCCTCCTCCTGTTCCTCTTTCTCCCTCCTCCTCGCCGCCCCCTCTCCACCTCCCTCTGAAAGGCTGCCTCCTGAGGAGCCCTAGGCCCAGGTCATCTTCCCAGACACCTCCCCTGCCTGAAGCCTCCTTCCCGTCCTTGCTCCCGTCCTCTCCCCTGCAGTCCTCCCTTCTCTCTCCCCACCTTGCAGTGTGTGTCCCTCTGCTCTCTCTCCCTCCCGCAGACAGGGAACCAGCATTTCCTTGCAGGTTGCTGACCTGGCCTCTCTCAGCACCAGAGCATCTCCCTCTGGGGAGGGGCTCTGCCTGGGCCACCCCCCACGGCCTGGCACTTTGGGCAAGGCCTTCCCCAGTGCCCGGCACACAGCCTACCAAGTTCTGTTTCTCCCTGCCACCTGTGGCCCTCCCACTCCCAGTTTGCCTTTCCCCTCGCTCACTCTATCTTTCTCTCCACCTCTCTTCTCTCTCTCTTTCACTTTCTGTCTCTGACTCCCACCCCATTGCTCTCCCGCCGTGAGCACAGCCTCCCGCACTTTCCCCTGGGAAATACCCCCAGTGGTTGAGCTTCCTGTCCTAGATGTACCTCGCTGCACAGACACGGGCCTGACACTTTCCTCCTGGGTTTAACGTTAATTTCCAAGATGAGACCTTGGTCTTGGGGGTGCAAGTTCCCTTTGGTCAGGTGCCTTGGGCCCTCCTAGGTCAGTCACCTTCACTGACCAGCTCCTAGGAGGAGGAACTCTGTGCTCAGGCCATTTGCCTGGTCCCTCCACCATCCTCTCAGTCGGCAGATGTCCACATGTGCCGGCTGGTGCTGTGCTGGGCCTTCTTCCCCAGGGTGCTCCACCGACACGCTGGGCCACTCAGGATACAGCCAGGGCAGCAGCATCGTCTTCCTGGGGGGTCAGGCAAGGCCTGATGGAGGAGAGGACCCTGGGGGAGAAGTTCATTTCCCTGTGGTCCTCATTTCTCCATTCATTCACTCAACAATACTTATAGCACCCACCACACAGCAGGCGTTGGGGTTGGTGCCAGGCACACAGCAATAAATAAGAGACCCTATTGCTGTTCTCAGGGATGCGTAGGGCGGCCAGCCCAGCCAGAGGTTGCCTTCCCCTCTGCCTCATGCTTTCCCCTTGTCTGCTCTGTTCATCCACCTGTCTGCCTGTCCATCTGTCTGTCCATTTCTGCTGTGCTGATCCCACCTGGAAACAACTGATTTCCCGTGGAGTCTGGGCTCCCTCCACCCACTCCAGCAGGGCGTCGGGCCCTGGGGGTTTGGGGGTCTGGCAAGTCCTTCTGTCTAGGTTGCAGGAAGAATCTAAGTTCAGAGGCCAGGGATTTGGGGCTAGTTCAGAGGAACGGTAACAGCAAAAACTGTGCCCTGGGCCGGGCAAAGCAACCCAAGTCCTCCCGGCTCTGCCTGGCCCCTGCATGCCCTATGCAGCCCCACCTCTCAGCCCATTCAATTTTGCTCCCACCTTGCCCCAGCCGTTAAAGGGGTAATGCTCCGGCCTGTCCCTCCCCACTAGGGAATATGCACCCCACTCTTCCAGGGCTGCTGGAACAGAGCAGCAGCAGGCCCCACCCCAAGTCACTCCAGCACCCTTGCCTTGTGACCCCATGAAGACAAGCTCCCTGCTCCTCTCCCCTCCCCTCCCTGCTTTCCTTCACTTCCTCTCTGGGGTTCCTCACTGGCTTCACTCAGCCTGGTCCTGATGGTGGAGCTGTAGGCGACATCAGCTGGGACTTCCCAAGATTGGTTTATACTCCAGAGTGGGTCATCAGTCATGCCTCCTAAGCCCCCACCCCCAAATTTGTCCAGGTATATAACTGGGGGCACCTGACACATAACTAACCAACCCCTAACCATCCTCCTGGGCAAGGGGAGCGGATCTAGGGGTCTGGAGGTAAGAGGGCTGGAGAGCCCTGGCTGACAGCAGACTCTGATTCAGGCCCCAGCTCTGCCCTACTCTGGGCCTCAGTTTCCCCGTCTGTACAGTCGGACAAGAGTCCTGCTGGTCTCTCAGGCCAAATCCAGAGAGTCTGTGGAAGTGGGCAGGATCCCTTCTCCAAGGAAAGGTGGGGAAGGACCTGATGCCCACGGGGCCATCTCTGCAGGTGGCGCCTGGGTGGCATACGGAGCTACAACCCCGAGCAGATCATGCTGAGTGCCGCGGTGCACCGGACCAGCCGGGATGTCAGCATCATGAAGGAGAAGCTCATCTTTTCAGGTGTGCAGCTCCGCAGACAGGTTGAGTCAGGCTCTGGGCTCTGTCCTCTGCACCCCACACATGCAGACGGGTGTGTGTGCACACATTTCACACACAGCACATACAGGTAGGGACACGGCACAGACATAAATATACCTACCTAGCTTCATGCTCACACTGGTACAAGGGCACACGTACATATACACATACAGAAATGCGCACACGTACACATACACACACAGAAATGCACACCCGTCCACATGCAGCCATCAACTCCAGGTCCTGTGGCTCAGTGTCAGCCCCATGGGTAGTGGGCAAGGGTGACATGCAGGGGTGGGGGGAGGGCTGGAGGCCCATCCTGCCATGCTGGTTCATACACAGACCCCACAAATGTTGATTTCACCCCTGCTTGCTGCCTGTTGACATTCCCAGATTGATGAAGGAGGCAGCTGTATAAACAAATACATGGAAAATTAGGTGTCACTGAGCTCTAATAGATGGGGGTGCTGATCCAGAGTGGGGTACAAGGAGGAGAGGGGTTCAGCGTTCCCTGGGGCAGTGAGGAAGGTTTTGGGGCCCACTCTGTGAAGAGGTGATGTAGTTGAAATGGGAAGGAAGGGTAGGGGGGTGATGGGTTTGAGGTGAGGGCTGGGCGAGCAGAGGGAAGGAAGGGCATTCGAGGCAGGAACAGCATGTGTTCAGAGGTAGTGCGGGAGCACTCCTTGCCGGGCACCAAGAGCTAAACATCATTCCACTTGGTTTGAAGGGAGGGCCTCTGGCTGACTCACCCCAAGATGGCGCTGGGGAGGCACTTCGGCCTCAAGTGTGTGGTCAGGAGCTTGGGCTTTGTTCTGAAAGAAGAGGAGGGTAACAGACAGATTTGTCTTTGTTACAGTGGGGCTGTAACAAAGTACCACAAACTGGGTGGCTTAAAAACAGAAATGTATTGTCTCACAGTTCGGAAAGCTAAGAGTCCATCATCGAGGTGTCAGCAGGGCTGTGAGGGAAAGATCTGGTCCTGGCCTCTCCCGTTGCCTTGTAGATGCATCTCTGTGTCCGAAGTTCCCCTCTTTACAAGGACACCAGTCATTCTGGATTAGGGCCCACTCTAATGACCTCATATTAACTAATTACATCTACAATGACCTTATTTCCAAAGAGGGTCACATTCTGAAGTGTTGGGGTTTAGGAGTTCACTATACGAATTTGGAGGGAACACAATTCACTCTCTCTTTTTTTTTCTTTTTTTTTGTCGGCACCACAGGGCTTGTGGGATCTTAGTTCCCTGACCGGGGATCGAACCCATGCCCCCCTGCAGTGGAAGTGCAGAGTCCTAATCACTGAACTGCCAGGGAATTCCCCACAATTCAGTCTCGAACAGTGTGGAGGGTGGGTTAGAAGGGGAAGCTGGAGACAAGGAAACCAATAATTCAGATGGGAACTGTGGGCATGGAAACAGGAGAGGAGAGATTTGAGAGATTTAGAAGCCAGATGGACCTGGATTCAAATCCCAGCATATCCCCCGAGCTGTGTGAACAAGAGCATATTACCTCACCTCCTTCACCATCAGACTCCTCTTCTGTAAAATGGGCTAGCTCGCCCTCACAGAGTACCTGTGAGGGTTAGTGCCATGCCTGGCCCAGACGGGTGCTTGGTAAATGCTGCCCGAGTGAACCAGAGCCCAGTGGGGGGTGCTTGTGGGTTTAGTGGGGCTGGCTCCAGCGACTGTGTGAACGTCCACTCATTTATTTACTCTTTTATTTATCCCTTCCTTCAACAGACGCATGCCAGGCCCTGTTTTAGGTGCTGAGGATACAGATTCTTGCCTTTGGGGTACTTAATTCCTCTTACCCTCGCTCAAAAACCCTCCTTCTCCTGGGAGCCTTCCCTGAGCACCAAAGCGGGGTTGGAGGGCCTCCCCTGGCCTCCCACAGCTCTCTGGCGACACTGCGGAGCTCCTGGAAGGAGGAGCCCGTCCAGGGCACCTGGAGTCCCCAGGCTCCTGCACTGTGCCTGGCCCAGGGAAGTCAGGAGGGGCGGGTAGCATGAATGGCAGGCAGGAGGCCAGCACTTCGGCCTGTCAGGTTCTGCACCTCCCCGACCCACCCCTCTCTGTAGTGCCAAAGGCCATTCATTCACCTAGCACCTTCTCATCACTGGCCCTGAAGAGTCGCCGCAGGCCTCACCCCCTGCCCACTCCTGGTTGAGAGGTCTTCTCCAGGGACCCACCGCCCCACCGAGGTGCTCTGAGTCCCCTTGGGGTGTGCTTAGCTCCCCTCAGCAGACCTTTTCTAAGCCTCTGCTGTGTGTCCAGGACTGTACCAGCCACTGGGGACACTGATGCCCAGACCTCATCCCTGTCCTTGAAGTAGTCCAGCCGATGGGGGCCATAGATGGTGACAATACAGGTGGGGCAGGGGGGAACAGGGTGGTCATGAGGAGGCCCCATCCCAGCCTGGGGGCAAAAACAGAAATGAGAAGAATTTAGCCAGATTTTAAGAAAAGGAAGTGTTATCGGGAGGTCATGCCCAGGAGACAGGCCAATATGTGCAAAGCCCTGAGGAGAGTAAACACATGCGTGCCAAGCTTAAGAGGGTGCAGATAGTTTTCTGTGGCTGGAAGGTGGAGCTCCAGGGAGAGGAGACTGAAGTACGACCAGAGCGTTTGCAGAGACTGAGAAGGGCCTTGAATGCCAAGCTCGATAGCATACCCGAAACCCGAGGTTTCATTCCTCCTAGTGGCTGACCAGGAGTGGCTCCAGGCCACCCCTTCCCACCGCATCTGCCAGCCATCTGTCCACTCCTCTCCTTCCTGCACTCACATTCTGCCTCCCTCTGGCCCAACAGAGATCAGCGATGGCATGGAGGTCTCCGATGAGCTCTCTGTATGTTCAGACAACAGTTATGACACATATGCCAACAGCACCACCTCCCCTATGGGCCCCCAAGGGAGCGGCAGCCACGCCACGACCCTCACAGACCGGAGTGGGCGTTAGCTGAAGACTCATCTGTCCAGCCTGTACCTCATGTGGAGACGGGAAGCCCACAGAGCTGGAAGAAGCACGCTCTGGGAGCTGGCTCCACAGTCTCCTTGTTGGCTCCAGCCCCTTGTCAGCCATGGCCTCTCTTGGAGGGGGATCCCCTCGCCAGCCTCTCAGATGCCCCTGCGGGCCTGGGGCTCCTTTTTCTGGGAAGTTTGGGGCTCGGGGCCTGGTCCACTCCCTGAGGCCCTCCCTTGCATCCTGACCTGGAAGCTTTGAAGGGTCACTGGGCCATGCCATGCCCCCTGTGGCAGTGGAGGATGTGGAGCCTGCGTGTGCCCACGTGTGTCTGTCCTCCTGTCTGTGCTGTGAGGAAACCACCTTCTCCGTGTTTCTCCTGCCTCAAGGGCCTGCGCTAGGCCTCTGCCCCAGCACCTCTGCTCTTCCATCAGTCTCAAAGCACAAGGAAGCTTGGCCCAGGAGCAACGCCTGCTACAGTGGTGGAGACACTCCTCCCCTGCCAGCCTCCTGCTGCCGCTGGCCCTGCCCCAGGAGAGGGTCCAAGCCATATCCCCTAGGAGCAGCTGGAGGTGGCAAGAGCAGGCTCGGGGCTGCTGGATCCACACCCAGGAGATCCACAGACTGACATGACCTCAGGTTCCCACGTCAGTGGCCAAGGGCAGGGGCCACCTGCAAAAGTGTTCAGGCATGGTCAGGGGTGGGTATATGGCCAAGGAGGCCTTCAGCGGAGGGAGCCTGAGGGGCCTTGGCCAAGATGATTAAAGCTGCCATCTTGACATGTGTCATCTCTGAATTGTCAGTGGGAGGGTGGGGACAGAGCTTGCTGGGTTTGGGATTCGGGTCCCATGACTAAGGAAGGACCATTCTCAGAAATGAATGGGAGAGTGGCAGGGTGGTGGAGCCCCTCCCCTGCATCACATGGCACTGGCGCTTCCTTAACAGCACTGGGCTTGGGGGCAAGTGTCCCCATATTGTGGTGGAGGAGACAGTCTTGGAGAGGTAAAGTGACCATCCGGAGCCACACAGCTTAGAACTGGCAGAGCCAGAATCCCACTCAGGCTCTGTGTGCCTTCCGTAACCAGCTGGGAATGGTAAGGCAGATGGGGAGGGCTCCCTGGTCCGATGTAGGACTGGGCAGTGGGACGAGCAGGTCTCTTCGTGGCCACACGGAGGCTTTCTGAGATCCCTGGCCTATGGAGGGACAGGCCCTCAGCCAGGAGATGCCTCTCCCTCATGGCGGAGGTTCAGCTTTGAAGAGGTCCATTCCCATTCCTGGCACAGTGGGGGACCTGGGCTAAAAGCCAAAATACAGCCCCTGGGACCACAGATGCCCCTGTCTTTCAGTCCTTGGACCTCTGCCCTCTGCCCTCCACGAGAAGGGGTCTGTAAATCCCATCTTTGTCATAAAAGTCTGCATGGTCTTGGGTGTGTCCTAGGGGAAAGGAGGGGGCTGAACCCATTTCATCCTACATTAAATAAACATGGTGCTTCCTGGGAGCCAAGGGATGTGTCTCTTCTCCAAACAGGGGCCTTCTGGATAGAATTCTTGGGGTCTGGAGCCTTCAGGGAGGAAAGGAAAAGAAACCCCTCCTAATGCTGGAACCCAGACTGGGCCCCCCACATTAACCTCTAGGACTACCCCTCTGGGAACTATTGGGGGACTCGCCCTCCTTTCCCCCTTTCAAACATTTGCCAAGTGCTCCCTTCCTGGGGCAGAGGTCAGCTCTTGGCTCTCCCTGGGCATGAGGAAATGTATGTGAAACCTGGACTGTCTGGGCCAGCAGTGGGGCACACTGCCCTACCCAAATGCCCCAGTAACCTCCTCTCCAGTGTCTGGCAGGCCTGCCCAGGAAAAAAGAACCAATCTTTTATGCTAGCCCCTCCCTGTCCAGTCAGTACCCCTGGGTCCACTGGCTAGCATGTTCCAGGCTCCTGGCTGGCCACACTTGGGCAACTTGAGTCATCCTAGGGTCTTTCAGAAGCAGGGAGAAGGGGATGGGAGTTCTGAGTGGAACAGCCTGTCGGCATCCTACTCTCACCAGGGCCCTACACTGTACCCCTCCACTCCCCAGTGCAGAGGCAGTCCAGCGGTCTCCCCTCACCCCAAACAATGGAAGGAGGATGGAGGCCATCCCCCAGCTAGGCCAATAGCTGAGCCCTTCACCCTCAGCTGAGCCCACAGCCTGTGGTCAACCCTGGCTCCTGTCCCTTGACCTGAGGGGTTACTGAGAAGGCCATTTTCCCAATGCCCTCCTCGTGACCTCTCCCTGTCTACTGAGGACAGCCTGACTGCCCTTAACAGGGAAACCGGAGACAGGGCCTCTCCCTTACTGCCATCTCCAGAGATCCATTCCTTGCTTCCTCCCTTGGACCTTAGGGGGTGAGGCCTCTCCAGGCTGAGCCCACCCTCCACCTTCGCCAGGGCCCTCCCTGAACCCTCAGCCCCTCTGTTCCAGGTATTTAGATGCCCAAATCTCTCACATCCTTTAACATACAGCAATATATACAATCCCCTTTTAGGGGGAAGCAGGATACGCCATTCCCTGGAACAGAGTCCCCAAAGCAGATCCTCCCCCAGGCCTCAGAACGCATGCTTGGCCGTCATCACAGTGACCCCTCCCATCACAGGTTCTTCCACAAACTCGGCCTGCCTAAGCCTTGCTGGGGGTGGTTCCTGCAGGATCCCAGCCTCACCAAGTCCACGTGGCAGATGGCTTTCACTTACAAACCTGTCTTGAGTTCACAGCACCTCAGTAAGACAGGCAGAGCAGGAACCATGACTAGACTATTGCTCTTGCCAAGATGAAGAGCTGGGGCTAAGGGGTGCTTAGTGATCTGCCTGGAGCGGCACAGAGAATCCCGGCAGTGCCAGTACCACCTCCCAGGTGCCCTGTGCCCATTCGGGCTCTCATCAAGGCGTCCTCCTCCCAAACTGCTGCCCTCTTCCGTGAAAGCAAATTTCCTCACCTGCTCCACAGACACCGGGCCCTATGGCCCTTCGTAGAGGCAGCAAGTGAAGAGACACCAGCCTATGGAGCTGCCTCCCTCTGGCTCCAGGCCAGCCCAGAGCTGCCTCATTCTCTCCCCACGCCCACCAGGCTGGCCCAGCACCACCACGCCCACTTCACTGTGCCTCCTCCACAGTGGGTACATTGTCGAGGGAAAAACACCTCAGCCATACCATACAACAGACCCAGGACCACACGCTGTCCACATACACAGTCCACACGACACAGCCCCCCGGTGTGAGCAGACAGACCGCTGTCACACACAGAAATGATCATAGAGAGATGCTGACACAAAGACAGGGACACACAATGCATATAACCAGATACACAAAGTCACACAATGACATGTCTGCTGTCAAGCAGGAACACAGAGCACAGAGTCACAGAGGCAGGAGGGATACCTAGACCTCTAAGCTGTGCAGTTACATACTTAGGCACACCTACAGCTACTCAATCACACCCACCCCAATGCCACAGTCACCACGTCCCCATGCACTCCCACACTCACGTACAGGTACCCTGGAACGCTTGCATGCGCACACACACACCCTCACATCCATGTATCACTCAGAGGCACAACCAGCACCAGGTCACCCCCAATCCAGACACACGGATCCGAGTTGCACACACAGTCAATCCCACGCCTACTCCTGGGTCCTCCCTGCTCCCCCTCCCAGGGCTGATCCAAGAGTAGAACAAAAGCCCTGTGTCCCCTCCTCCCCTTCCCCCTTAACTCTCCTCTCCCCCTCCACCCCCCCCCCCGCCAGCGGCCATCCCCTTTGTTCCCCTCCAGTTGATC